CAACACTTAATAATAGTCAAAGGGTACAATAAGCAATCAAATCATACTAGGAAACAGTCGATATAAATCATAAGGATACAAGCGACAAAGTTATAGTCATACAGTCACCAGTGGGAGGAGATGGGTGATAAGGAGTGATGAGAAGATGAACAGTAATAGTAGTGCAGACTTTGTAAATAGTTGAACAGCGTTGAGGGAATTATTTGTTTAGCAGAGTGATGGCATTCGGGGAAAAACTGTCCTTGTGTATCTAGTTGTTCTGGTGTGCAGGGCTCTATAGCGTCGTTTTGAGGGAAGGAGTTGAAACAATTTATGTCCGGGATGTGAGGGGTCTGTAGATATTTTCACAGCCCTTTTTTTTGACTTTTGCAGTATACAGGTCCTCAACTGAAGGCAGGTGGGTAATCATTGTTTTTTTCTGCAGTCCTAATTATCCTCTGAAGTCTGTGTCTGTCCTGTTGGGTTGCAGAACCAAGCCAGACAGTTATAGAGGTGCGGAGGACAGACTCCATCATTCCTCTGTAGAACTGGACCAGCAGCTCCTTTTATTCCCTTTTAACAGCTATTTGCATGTTCGCCTAGCTTCCGCGGGCGGAGAAAGGAAGAAAATGGGGGGAGCGTTATTTTTTTAAATTTATATATTTTTATTTTTTTAAACCCTCCCTGCTCAGATCTGCGTCTGTCACGTGACTCTGGTCGCCGCTAGGCTCGTGTGTCGAGGGGCGGGCGGGGGGGGGGGGAAATATTGCTCTGATAGACGTAAATAAATAAGAAATAAAATCTAATATCGACGGGGCAATTTTTTGCCAGCGGGGGTTAAAGCTGATTTCAAACCCGGGGGGAATTCCAGAAGGAAAGCGACAACAGAAAGAGATTTATATATTTTTTTTAAACTTCCCCTTTCCTTCCTCCCCCCCCCCTGCGCGTTGGTATCGTCCGAACGCCGGGTTTTAAAAAGAACCCCTGGGCAACACAACATTCCAAATCAGAACCTTGGAGGTGCGAACGTTCTCTCGCCCCTTTGCGAGGCGGTGCGCGCGCAGCCATGGCGGTCAAGATCAAGGTGGTTTATTGGTAAGGAAATTCCCGGGGGATTCCCGTGGGGCGGGGGCGCCTCTGCTGCAGCCTTTTGGGGAAGGGGCTGCCAGCCGGGCGGGGCCGGCAGTGCCGTTTGCCTCCTTGCGGGATCTTTGGGGGGGGAAGGGTTTCCTCCCCCTCCCCCCGCATTAATACAGAATAACAAGAGTTGGAGGGGACCTTGGAGATCTTCTAGTCCAACCCCACTGCTGAAGCAGGACACCCTATATGATTCGACACAAGGGGCTCGCTTCCTAGGGCGGTTTACGGGTTTAATGGGTGGCGTTTTATAGCCGTGGGAATCTTGCTGCCTTTTTTTATTCATTTATTCCCGTGCAAATTTCTTTTTTCTTTTTAAATGAATGGGAAAAGGGGGGGCTCCGGATTGCGGGGAAAGGTTGCTGTTGCCTGGGGAAATGAATAACGCAGCCTGGGGGGCAAAGCAAGCTGCCTCCTTCGGTCCCACCGCAGGCGACAATAAGGAGCGCGCATCGAGCCAGGCACGGCGGCTGGGTTAGGCCGTTGGAGCAACCACCTGCCGGGAATTTCGGAATTTTCAAACCTTTTATTGTCGGAGGACAACCGGTGTACAATGAGATTGGGCTGAGCCTCCCTTCGTGCACCCCCCCCCCAAAAAACCCCCCACAATACAACTCACAGTGAGAGACAGAAAACCCCTAACCCAGTAGATCCTTACTAACAAACACACAATTCTATTGTATCATATGAACTTATTGCACGCTGTGTTGTTGTAAAGCTGGGCTATCCAAACGGGGCAACTTTTAAGGCTTGTGGACTTCAACTCCCAGAATTCCCCAGCCAGCCATGCATGAAGACCCTCTTGTAAAGTTATTTTCCATTCAGGAGTCCGACAGCCCACGGATTTATTTATTTATTTATTTATTTTAAAAGCCTGTTTGTGTGGCTGCTGCCGGTGCTTCCATACCTCCTTCCGGATGATATGAGAGTAAAGAGGGGACGGGGTGGCAAGTCCCTGGATTGGTATCATGAAAAAAAAAAAAAAAGGATCTGTGAGATTTGGGCTGAGCTGGTGAGGAGTGAAATCTTTCATTTTCTTGAACGTGAGATTTGCAAAAAAAAAAAAAAAAAATTGGCTTGTGTACATGCTGTAGAGCAGTGGCCCCCAACCTTTTTTGTGCCACGGCCCGGTACCGGCATCAGCACGCATGACAAGGCAAGGCGAGCCGAGCGACCGGCCAGCCACCTTCAACTCCTCCTTTGTACCTTTGTCAATGGGCTTCACTTCGGGACGGCTTTGGGACGGTCGCTCGGCTCGCCTTGCCTTGGGTGCTGAAAGAATCCTCGTGCCTTAGTTTCATTCAAAGTTGCCCCCCCTTCAATGAAACTAAGGCGCGAGGATTCCTTCAGGACCCAAACGCCGCTTTCCAACCGGAAAAGCTCACCCAGAAGCACTTTCTCATCAAACAAGATGTCACCCAGTAAACCGGCGCCCCGGTAGGAAATGTTCCATGGCCCAGGACCGGTCCACGGCCCGGTGGTTGGGGACCCCTGCTGTAGAGTGCTTTTGGGGGTGGAGGGGGGTGATTTTTAAACCATGGCGCATTGAGGCTGCCTTTTGGGGGATGGAAATGCATTAGGAGTCACTCAGCGAGACGGGTCGAGTCAGGGTTCCGGAGATTGCCCTAATTAAACCATGAGCCTCGGGCCAAGCTTCAAAAAATTTATTAGGAGCAACCTGTCGGCACTGACCTAAACGAAGCCAGCTCTGGAATATGTAATATACAGTCCCCTGTGCCCCCCTCCCTTCCGGGTATGTCATAAATCAGATTCTCCAATGAAGCAGGTGTTCACAGGCTGGGTGTCATCAATCACATTCTCCAGTGAAGGATTTTCCCGGGCAGAAGATCCGGTAGCCTAGCTACAATCTTTGTAAGATAAGGGTGGAATGCACTTCTGGTTTGAAACTGCTGTACTGCTCCTTCAGATTCCCCCTCCCCTGTTCACAACAACTCAAAAACAGTTGACAGGTGGTCTCTTGACTAGGATAAAGAAATAAAATTAAAAATGCCTATGGGTATTTAGGGCTAGGCTTGGACTGTGTACAGACAGTCCTCGACTTAATGACTGCAAGGGAGCCCAGAATTTCTGTCATTAAGAGAGACATTTGTTAGGTGAGTTTTGCCACATTTTATGACCTTTCTTGCCACTCGTTGCTAAGTGAATCACTGCAGTTGATAAGTTAGTAATCTGGTTTCTGGATTTGTCATTATAGGGATCTGATTATGCATAATAGAGAATTATGATGATGAGGCAGCTTCCTGTGCTGTCAAATGGGAAGTAATGTGAATTTTTCCTTTTGTTTTGCTTCTAGTGGAGCCTGAGGCTACAAACCCAAGGTAGGTCAATTGTTTTTAATTGTGAGCTGCCTTGTCGTGTGTACGAAATGGGCATCTATGTGCATAAAATACAATAAATTTATTCACTTAGCAAAGATACTGTGTGACTGATTGAAGAGCCCAGATAAGTGACTTGTCACATCTGGGAGTTCTATCTATCTTTTAATATGCATGTTTCAAATGAGCTTTAATTTCTCTGATAAAACGTTTAGCTGTGATGGACTGGCAATTGAAAAAATGACGGGAGACGCAGGGAAGACGTCTGAGCAACTGCCAGCCCCGAGAGCCCTCGAGTAGCAGTATTTATTAAGAAAATGCAAATACAAAATCAAAACAATGACTTCAACATTAGCTCAGCAACATTATCTAGCTAGGCCTCAGCGAAGGTGATAAATTTCCCGTGAGAAAGCAGGGCATCAAAGGTCCCATGGGAATGGCTCAGATAGGTACTGTGAACTCCCACACACATTCCTGGCCTCTGAGCTTTGCAGATAACAGGATCAAACTCTCATCATAAAGACACTACTGCCCTCATGAGGAGCGTTTGTGATACCCCCAGATCTTACAAAGCTGTACAAGAACTTGCAGAATATGATGGATATATTACCACATTTAGCTTTGATTTTTCTGAACTTTACAATTTTCTCCTTTTTTATCTCTTGTAGTTTCAACAGCTCAAGAAGGAACTCGAAAAAGAGTTTCCGGGCAAGCTGGAAATTGTGAGTCTTTCCAGCCATTCGTAATTCCACCTTTCTTTTCTTCTGGTCATCTCCTGGGTAAATGAGATGACCGAAATGAGTAGATTTGGGGGTAAGAAGAAGGCTTCTGTCATTTGGCTGGCCATTTTTAGTAATTTATCAACTGCACTTTAATTAAAGGTCTTGTCTCTGTAAAGACACATGACGCAAGTTGAAAAACTTGCTTTAAAAACGTATCTTTTACAGACCACTTCCATGTAGTAGAGTGAAAGTTGCTGGGGTTGAGAAACCCTTGAGAAACACTGCAGGTAGTCCTTGACTTACAAGTTTGTTCAGTGATCATTTGAAGTTACAATGGCACTGGGGGTGGGGTGGGGGGGGAGGGACATGGCCCTTTGCCACACTTGACCGATGCCACACCCCCATGGTGACTTACATTTGGGTGCTTGAGAATTGCATCCAGGTTAGATTCAGTCCATACGCAGAGTGTTGGAGAGGGATCTAGGTTCAAAGATTGGGAGATCCCGGAATGGAGAAAGAGGGCGAATGGCTTGCGTTTCAGCCTGTGGTGGTGGTGACGATGGTGTTTTGGTTCCATCTAGAGCGGCGAAGGGACTCCACAAGTCACAGGATGGTTTGAAGTGATGGTAGCTGGGAAGATGGTGCACTCCAAAAAGGTAAGCAGCTCAACAACGAAACACCTTTGCACTGAAGTCAACGAAGAACAAAGTTGCCGGGAGCTCAGCTGTAAAAGTTCTGATGGTTTATGAAATCAGCTCTGGTTGATTGTGGTTAAACACCACGTCCTGTCAAGACTAAAGCTAAGTAAACCATAGTATGGCTTAGCAGGATGTCTGGATTCAGGGTTAAGCTAGGAGACATGGTGCTGTCTGGAAGACAATCGGGGTTTTGTCTGCAGCTATTTGAACTCTGGGGAGTTTGCGTAAAGTCCACCACGGGAAGGGAACCATGGCGTCTTTGTGCCCACGAGCACATGGGCGTGGAAGGAGCTGGATTGTAACCCTGCTTTAACCGGTATTTAAAATACACAGGAAACCTTTCATTGTGGAAGAACTCTTGGGAGGGAGTCCTGAAATGATAGTTCAAGATGACAAGAATGGAATAGAATAACAAAGTTGGAAGGGACCTTGTAGGTCTTCTAGTCCAACCCCGCTTGTCCTGTCCTCAGGTGTTTTGGAGAATAGCTTGACTACCTCTTGTTTCTGGGCAGCCCCAGAGATATTGGAATTCTGCTTATCATGGTTGAGCTTTCTTTCTTTTTCCCCACTTCTATAAATGATTAATTTCTGTTGCATTGTGAATAATGCTTCCTCTCATTAGGAGAAAATCTAGTTACAAGGGTGGACAAATTTGCTCTCCCGGGAAGAGTAATGAATCTGCCTGGAGGCAATGGCTTTGAGCATGCCCTGGCATGAAAAGGCTTTGTTATTCTTAGAACTGTAGCAGCTTCCTTGTGTTGGTTACGCGGCAGACCTGGAATCTTTCCTTCTTTTCTCCAGAACGGAGATGGCTTTGTGGACAACAATGCCAAACTCAACAAGATAATCGAGGCCATCAAAACAGCTTTGGCATGAGGACGGCTTTAGGTCATGGCTAGCAGCTCAAAATGCAAGAGGTAAAATCCGGACTTAGTTTGAAGTTCCCTTTATTCCTCGTATTCTGAAAGACCTGTGTCTAAAAAAAAAAACCTGCTGTAAAGAATGATGATTCTGGGGCCTCTATAGGGATGACATCGCTTTTTAACTTCTCAAAAGGGTCCCAGTAAAATGTTGCTTTTTCCCAAATGGGAATGCACAAGCTCTTTTTAAAGAATTTATTACAGAAAATACTTCTCTAAAGGCTGGTCTGGAGGTGGATCTTTTATTAACATTGGCTTGGAGAATTTCTACAGATGGCTTTGTCTGTGTACTACAGATCTGAAGCCTAAAAAGGCTACCATGTTTGCCTCCTGCAAATAATCAAGTGTGATTACTTTTAATGTTATTTGCAAAAACAGCTACCAATATTAGCAATCCTTCATTCTAAAGAACCTTTTGTTCCAGGTAGTATTTATGAAATTTCAACCCATAATCAGCGGTTTATGATTCAATTCATATAGAGTATTTTTAAGCCACTGTGAGGGGGGCTCTGCCCCGCCCCCCAAAACCTAACCATAGCTAGTCTATATCTAAAAATGGGGCACGCCTTACCAGCTAACGTGTGAAACGTGTTCAGATCTGCAGGAAACAAAAAGTATTTTGCAGAAAGACATGGTGCTTCAGGGCAAACAACGGCTAACTTTTCCTTCCACATGCAGGATTTTAAAAACAATTTTCTCCTTTATTTGGTAGCTCAAGATAAAAATCTGTTTTGTTCATCTTGGCAAATCGCTCAATGATGGGAGCTGCTGAAATGTTGCCCGACACCTGGCAGTTCCCTGAAAACTCTGCGCTGGATGCCAACTTGATCAAGGCTGGATGGAAGAATTTGTGCTCTAATTCAGCGTTTGGGTGTGAATTAAGTCTGCAATTCCTAATATATTTGTCTTCAGTTTTCATTGTGTGCTGCATGCAAATATGGCTTTCTTTGCGGTTCTTTTTTTAAAAAAAAAATACTTGCATTATTGGCTAGTAATTTTGAGAAAGGATTACTGAAAAACAGGAAGAGTGGAAGATTCATCAAATATCTGCTTTCACCGTACACAAACACTTCCAATGTATGATGGAACCCGATGTAAAAAAACCTCTGCCTCAAAGTACAATTTTAGAATCCTAAAACAACTTGAAAATGTGCATTTTCTTTCTTTCCCACTGCTCCTATCTTCCCTCTTTCAGAATTGTGTGCTTTATAACCACTTTTGACTTATTTGCTCAAATATTGTCAAATGCACTGAACATTTAATAAAATGTTACTTCCAAGATGTTGCAACCTGTGTGAAAGCACAAGACTCAATCTGCCCTTATGTCACAGTAACTCTTTAGATCTATTGGAGATTGATACATTACTTATTGACTGCATTTATATAATCACCTTTTCTTTTACAGAATTTTTTATTGGCCAAATGTGATTGGACACACAAGGGGTTTATCTCCTGTGCAGAAGCTCTCGGTGTACACACATATAACAAATATATTTAGACTTATATACCGCTTTACAGCCCTCTCTAAGCGGTTTAGAGTCAGCATATTGCCCCCAACAATCTGGGTCCTCATTTTACTGACCCTGGAAGGATGGATAAGTCATAGAGCATAAATCATAGTTACAATAATTAATCATAAGATGCAAACAAGTGATAAATCATAAGATTAGCAACAGGAGATAGTAGGAAGGATGAGAAAATATGAATGTCACACACACACAGGACTTTGCTGCAATGGATACAAGGGTGAGGACTGGCCATAAGTCACTTTGTAGCTCTGAACAGTTGCTAGCCAGTTTGGTCTAGCGGTTAAGACAAGCTAGAAATTTATAAAAGTCCATTAAATGACTTTGGACCCATCACTCACCCTCAGCCCAAGCCACCACACAAGGTGATGGTTGTGGGGTAAATATGAATAGGAAACAGTATTAGATACATTTGCTGCCTTGAATTATTTAAAAAAAATAAATGGAATATGTCAAATAATGGCTGTAATTATAGGACTACCTGTATATGTATGTAGTCCTCAACCTGTGACCACAATTGACCCCAAAGTTTATACTGCTAAAAGCAAGATTGTTACGGGAGTTTTGCCCCATTTTACAACCTTTGTTGATAAAGTTGTTAAGTGAATCACTGCAGTTCAGTTAGTCACAAGATTAAGAATGAACCTTTGAATTGGCTTGTCATAAGGACGCAAAAGGGAATCACATGACCCCTTTCCTACCGTCATAAGTTTGAGTCTGTTGCCAAGCGCCTAAAATTTTGATCATATGGCCATTAGGATGCCGCAAACGGTCGTATGAAAAATAGTCCTAAGTCCCTTTCCCCCCCACTTTGGGTGGTCACTAAACGAACTTTTCTAAGTTGAGGACCACTTGTATATATACGTCCATCTATCTATCTATCTATCTATCTATCTATCTATCTATCTATCTATCTATCTATATCTATATCTATATCTATATATATATATATGAGAGAAAGAGAGAGAGATATGAGATCGAGGGCAGAGAGATCAAGAAATTCCCCTCAGAAAGGATCCGTAACGTCTCCGAGCGGGAACCTTCTGCGCCCCCTTCCCGCGGGGTTCCACGGGTATCCTGCGAAGCCAGATTTATAAATCCTCTATTTATCCCCGGGATGCCTCATCCCAGCCACCCTGGAGCCGAGAACCACGGCTTACGACGACGCCAAATCCTCTCGGGCTCGTGAAAAAGCCGAACGCGGCGACGGGAAGGCCGCGGGTCCAAGATGGCGGCCTGCGCGCCATGTTCACCTTAGCTGACCCTCCCCCTTCCTCTCCGCTCCCGCCTCCTTCTCCAGCCGCGATGCATGACGGATAAAAAGCCTGGCCCTGGAACCCGCCATTTTCTGTGGGGGCAGGCGGGAAAGGCGGGAAGTCGGCGAGGAGGCAGCGCGAGCGCGGCCGCGACACGACCCAACGGCGCCCACGGTCGCAGAAGCGCGAGGCGGACGAGCTGAGGTAAGCCCCACCGCCGCTTTTTCCGTTAGCCCCCTTTCGATGGCGGGTGTGTGAGGGGGGGCAACGGGGGGAAAAGGGGGTGCGCATTACAAACTTGAGGTCGTTTTGAGGCGATGCGTTTCATCTTCCTGCCCCCCCCCCCACACACACCCGTATAGCTTAAATCCCGCCTTCCGTGTGCTTCCCCCAGCGATTGGTCGAAAGGGCGATGATTACGGTCGCGTTCGTGATAGGTTGGAAAGGTGGAGGCTGATTGGCGCCCAGTCGGTGTCAGTCTGCCTGGAGCCTTTGAAGCTATCCCGCCGGGGTCCCCCCTCCCCTTGCTCTTTAGCGAGCCCGGGCTAGAAGGCGATTGGGTGGCGGCGCGCTGGCCACTGGGAAAAAAAAGCTTCGCGGCGTACGTGCGTTAGGGGGGAGGCGGAGGTATGGTTGGTGTTCCTAACGTTCCGAACAGCCAATAGGAGGAAACGGTTTCCGCAAGGGCTTCTGGGGCGCGGAGTCTTCTCTGGTCTCGCGCAACCCAGACGGCTCAGTGCAGGTTTCACTTCAACTCCCAGAATTCTAAGCCGCATATTCGGGACAGGAGCTTCTAAGTAGGAATTCTGGGAGTTGAAGTCCGGTGGGCCCTGACCGTCCCGGGATAGTATATCTTTAATTATTTCTAGATGTTAATTATGAGGCTGCCCAGTTTTTTGTTTTCTTCCTCGTTTTTGTTCCTGGGCGCTGATCCTACCTTAATCTCTCTTTCATTTATTACAAGGAACTCTTTTTCACTTTTAATGATTTTTTTTTTTAAAAAAAGCTTTTTTGCGGCCTCTTCATCAGAAGTTGCCATATGACAAGAAAACACGTGTCCAAAGCTGTATTTTCATGTCTAGGTTTTTTTTTGCAAATATTTAAGATTTTCCTTGTGCTGCAAATGTGTTACCTGCCATTACGTTAAATCCCTATTTTTACAGGTAGTCCTCAACTTATGACCGCAACGGAGGCCCATGTTTTTGTTGTTAAGACATTAAGTGCTAAGTGAGTTTTGCCCCGTTTTGCGACCTTTCTTGCCCATGGTCATTAAGTGAATCGCTGCCATTGATAGTAACCTGGTTGTTAAGTGAATCTGGCCTCCCCCCTGTGACTTTGCTTGTCAGAAGGTCTCAAATGGGGGACACTGCGACTCATAAATATCAGTCAGTTGCCAAGAATCTTCATTTTGATCATGAGGTTAAAGGTCGTAACTCTGAAAAACTCAACTTCTTCCAGTGCCATTGCAGTTTTGAACAGTCGCTGAACAAACTGTTGTAAGCCGAGGACTACCTGCATTTACTGCATCTTCGGTGCCACTTCAATTAGAACAAATGGCTTATGGCCTTAGCGAAACTCTCCCCCCACGCATACACCCAATGGAAAAAAGTACGACAAACTAATCAGACTAAACAGATCCAGCACCATTTAAATAAAAAAAAAATTAAACAAATTTTCTTATATACAACAAGAAGGGAATGAGTGGAAATGACGCAGCAACATTTTTTTTAAACCTCAGAACAAACACGGCCTCAAGAAGATCATTCTTCTCAGAAATATGAAAGTTAAGATATAATTAATGGATTAATTAAGGATGTTGAAGGATAATAGATTTTTTTTAATAGAAACAACTAAGCAAAGAAGAAAGATAAAGAGTGATATTAAGTACAATAAGGACGATAAGATAAGATTAGAGAATAACACCAAGTAATATGACTGTAAACACTAACTGTATTGCACAATATTTTTGTATCCAGACGACACGTCAAATGGAAGAAGATATGTTTGTAATAAAAATTATATACATATACATACATACATACATATATTTGTTTTTGTAGATTTTCATGGGTACAGGTAATGTAGGTCTAGGTGTTTTCGAGTCTTTTCCCATATAAGATTAAGAGTATCTTGGCGACATTTCAGCGAGGTCCCACTCGCCATCCTCAGGCTGGTGCTTTCGGCTTCATGCCAGTGCAAGCAGTGTGTCACAGACCCGAGCACACAGCTTTGTTCAGGTATTTTCCCACATCATTATATTTGTGCTTTTAAAGTTGTAGCACAGACCCGAACACACCTAGACCTACATACCTGTACCAGTGAAAATCTATGAATATACGTACATACGTACGTACGTACATACATACACATAGTATTCAGCTTTTCTTCGGGTATTTTCCCACATCATTATAGTTGTGCTTTTAAAGTTGTAGCGATGTTTCGGCAGAATCTCATCTGCCATCATCAGGCTTCTGTATTGTGTTCATCTGTGAGTCAGACTTTCACAGCCGTTTCTGTTTTAAATTTGGGGCAGTAGGCTAGCCCTTGTAAGCAGACTGTTTTCCGAGTTGATTTTGTAAATCAAGATAAATATTTGAAAATTGTCTGCGGGCTTCTTAGTGTATTGTTTTAAAACAAGGACATGTTGGAAGAGTGCTAATGTCTTATAATGAAGGACCTTCTCTTTGTTAGCAGACGTCTTGCATCCTGAGAAACTTCCACAATGGCCCGTACCAAGCAGACTGCCCGTAAATCCACTGGTGGGAAAGCGCCACGAAAGCAGCTGGCCACGAAAGCTGCTCGAAAAAGTGCACCGTCGACCGGTGGAGTGAAAAAACCTCACCGTTACAGGTATTTGGATTAAGGCTTTTGGTGGAATTGGGGAGTGGGTGGCAACCCAACCAGGCCCCCTTCTCACCTCCAGAATTATTGGTCCATTGGGGAAGTTTGCACGTCTGTTTTGTTTGATTGCCACTATTAATAACTTTTCTGTGGAAATCCCAAAAGTGTTTTTTTTTTTTTTCAGGAGACAATTGGACTTTCTTGTTGTTTTCTTTGGAAGACATTTCGCTTCTCATCCAAGAAGCTTCTTCAGCTCTGACAGGATGATGGGGAATGGAAGGATTGATGCTCCTTGCAGGCAGCTGCTCAGAGCTGAAGAAGCTTCCTGGATGCAAACGTCTTTAAAAGAAAACAACAAGAAAGTCCAGTTGCCTCCTGAAAAAAGCACTTTTGGGATAACCATGACCTGGAGGGCTGAGAATCTCTGCAGACTTTTCCTGTGGAAAGAACATTTCTGATTCTCAAGGGATCCTGGGAGTTGCTTGCGGGAGGTGAGCCATGTTAAACTTACTTCCACATCCTCCCACCCAGGCCTGGCACTGTGGCCCTGCGAGAAATCCGGCGGTATCAAAAATCCACAGAGTTGCTGATCCGGAAGCTGCCCTTCCAGCGCCTGGTCCGTGAAATTGCTCAGGATTTCAAGACAGAC